CCTAAACAATATAAGGCTAACAATAATTAACCTATTGTTCAGAAGATTCTGCTTCCTAAACAATATAAGGCTAAGAATAGTTTATCCTTTAAACATACGAGGTGGCAAGTAGGACACTTTCTAAACAATAAACAAATGAAATACTTAGCCAAGTATGCAAGTTATACATTCGTTGTATAGCGGAAAAACTTGAACATTTTACTACATCCAGTTATAGAACTCAGAAATTATAAAGCATGACACAAATTACGTAGAAAAAAAATACCAATGGTTATATTAGCATTAGTTAGTTTATTTCAAACAGCAAGTTTGTTTCTGCAAATGTTTTAGTTTCGAAGAATGATGAAAGAGACATAAAATATTGTTACGTCTCCGTTTGTTAATTAACTTTCCGTAACTTCGTTCTGACGAAACTTTAGCGACACAAGTCCTTACTTAATAAAACTGGTTTATTCTTTCCGAATATAACTTTACGATACACTTGTTTTCAACAGTCGCGCTAAAACAAACGCTATATCAACGAACGTTAACTCCAACAATACGTCTCTCTCATTACCTACACACACATTACTCTCCCGTCACGTTGTCACCCTCTTTTATATACCAGGCTACCCTATATCTAGTAAATACTAGAGCATTCGCCAAGGTACAGGATAGTTCTAGAGAATAGGTGGCGCCACACCAGTCACGTGACCTCGATGACGCAACAATATTAACCTCTTGAACTACCTCTATGTCTGCGTGTAGTACTACAACAGATAATAAACATTTCTTTAAATTCTGAAGTAAGAAAAAAACTATCATGATCATGTAGTGAACAAAACTACTAAAACTCTAATGTTGAAGTGGGAAATTAAAATTTCAACACGTCTAGAACGATATTGTGAAGAAAAGCAAAGACTTGTAACACAAACCTGAAACCATTGTAGAAACAATAGACGTCACTTCTTTGATAACTAATCTCAGTTGAATCTGTTTGGTTTTCTTGAATGACATGTATAATTTTATATATTAATGTAGAGGGCGTTGCTGTGGTCTGTTCCAGTAGAAAGGAAGAAAAACACAAAGAGAAGACAATATGTTTCATCCACTACTTTTTGTTATGTCCACAGTGATCTTGACAGTGATTCAAGTAAGTAGGAGTTCTTGATAACTTTTCTCGGCATTAAATTACTCATTTTCTTTCATCTATAAATACAGCAATAGATTAATACTTCATACAATATCTGACAGATATTTATTGGTCAAATGTTATTTTTGTACAAAAGAACTATTAAAACAGAATGTTTTAGTGCACATCTTTGTTGCTAGGGTGAAACTTGTTTTTATGTTCAGCACACTTTGAAAGTGATAAAACTCGTTTTATGTTTAGCATACTTTGAAAGTGGTGAAACTCGTTTTATGTTTAGCATACTTTGAAAGTGGTGAAACTCGTTTTATGTTTAGCATACTTTGAAACTGGTGAAACTCGTTTTATGTCTAGCACACTGTGAAAATGATGAAACTCGTTTTATGTTTAGCATACTTTGAAAATGGTGAAACTCGTTTTATGTTTAGCACACTGTGAAAGTGTTGAAACTCGTTTTATGTTTGGAATATGGTGAAAGTGGTGAAACTCGTTTAATGTTTAACACATTGTGAAAGTGTTGAAACTCGTTTTATGTTTAGCATACTGTGAAAATGGTGAAACTCGTTTTATGTTTAGCATACTTTGAAAATGGTGGAACTCGTTTTATGTTTAGCACACTGTGAAAGTGTTGAAACTCGTTTTACGTTTAGCATATGGTGAAAGTGGTGAAACTCGTTTTATGATTAGCATAGTTTGAAAGTGATGAGACTCGTTTTATGCTTTAACGTTTGCCTCGAGGATGACATTTAAGTAATTTAATGTTGTTGGAAGTCAAGCACTCAATAATACGCAATCAGAAGTCCGATATGTCAATAAAGAAAATGAAATGGCGAATTTATTATTATTAGCACGAAGAACAGTAAAGCGAAGCACTTGCTTGCTTGCATATCAAAAAATCATGAAACAACTCAAATCATTATAATCATTATAGAGGTATTAAATATATAAGCTTTTAAAACTTAGATACTGAAATGTCATAGCTTTTAAAATGTTACTCTTTAGTACAAAACTATGAGTATGAACCTATTGTATAGACGCAATTGAAAGACGGTAGTATATTACTACTGACTAAATATCTATGTCTACTGAACAGGCTAGAGCTTGTGACTAAATATCTAGGTCTACTGAACAGGCTAGAGCTTCTAGTGACTAAATATCTATGTCTACTGAACAGGCTAGAGCTTGTGACTAAATATCTATGTCTACTGAACAGGCTAGAGCTTGTGACTAAATATCTATGTCTACTGAACAGGCTAGAGCTTCTAGTGACTAAATATCTATGTCTACTTAACAGGCTAGAGCTTCTAGACTGAACAGGCTAGGGCGTGACTAAATATCTATGTCTACTGAACAGGCTAGAGCTTGTGACTAAATATCTATGTCTGCTGAACAGGCTAGAGCTTCTAGTGACTAAATATCTAGGTCTACTGAACAGGCTAGAGCTTCTAGTGACTAAATATCTATGTCTACTGAACAGGCTAGAGCTTCTAG